AACTCTCTCAATTTTGACCCTAGAGATGTGTTCTTGGACTTTTTAGAAAGCTTAGGATGTACTATAAGCAACCCTTTTGGTATCATCTCAATTGATTCTTCCATGTTCATGTATGAAGCTTTGACCCAAAAGGTGTTTTTGTTGACTTTTCAAAATGACCTATAATGTCTAAATTCATATCTTCTTATGAGTGCATATTTTGAACTTGGGAGATGAATATGAATTGTGGGGAATTACATCCTCTTCAAAATGAGCTTTGGATGGATCATTTTTGATAAAGTATGAGAAAGTTATGCTTGGTCAAAGTTGGGGTTGACTTTTCCTACAAAACCCTAATTTAGCAATTTTTGGGTTTTGATGAATTGTGAGAAATCCTTGAGAAATCATAATCAACCCTTGATAAAATGATGAATAATACTTCAAAATTATAATGTTGACCAAAAATATTGAAATTTGACTGTATGTGAGCCACAGTTGACTTTTGCCCTAGCACAGTCGATTTTCAGGCATTTGAGTAGTTGACTGAGCAAACTTCCTCTACAAGGCTTGAAACTTGACATGGATGGTCTTGAGAACATATTAGGGCAATGGATGGTTGTGCCCATTGTTTGCGTGGGTTAACCAAGTACCTTGGATGAGACACGTGCATTTCAGGGTTACTAACCAACCTGTACCAAGATAAATATTGATTCGTGTGTCGCATATTACCATGATTAAGGAAAACCGGGAATTGCAAGACATATCGGTGACGCCTCTGCCACATCTTACACCATTCTGGAGCGAAGTCTTTCCAGTTGGTAAGACCCCACTGGGCGTCGACCCTTTTGAGATGTCATGGGGACAAACAAGTTGGATCACTTGGTATCTCTTGATGCATTCCGAACTGCATCTTCACACGGTCGTTGTGGTGCATCTCCACAACATTGAACCGAATGATTGCAGTCTTCGCGGTCCAAATTGTTGCATCCTTCGGGTTTGGTTCATGGCTCAAACCCAAATATGGTCTCCATACGAACTGAGAAAAAATTTAAATCAGGTTAACGAAAATGTAATATATAAATAATTTAAATGAAGAAAAGTTTAAAGGTACGATGTACATTATTCGGGCCTAAGTGATCCAACAGATTACGGTATAGTGCGACATTGAATCTTGGATTCTTTCCGTAATCCATATCCCTCACGCAATACCTAAAGGAAATGAAAAACATTTTATTTTTAGCATATATTTGGTGAAGAGATGAATAGTAATAAATGATATAACTTGATGACTTACTTTGTTGCGTACGGGAAAATGAAAGTGTTGTTGTTGACGGGGTTTAAAGACTACATCCTCCACAAACCCCAGGCTTGTAGTAAAAAAGCGTACCCATAAAATATACATTTTTCCTTTACTGCATTTTTGCACAAGGAACTGTATAGGTGGGCTAAAATTGCAGAACCCCAACTATACTTTCTTGTTTTTTCAAAATCTCTAAGTAAATGTAAATACATAAAATTTACACTATTTCCCGTACTTTCGGGAAATAAAAAGGTACCAAATAGTATCATAAGATAAGTTCTGGCGTTTACTACCCTGTCTTGCTCGGAGGAATTTTCGTTTAATTCCAAACTTGCATAATGACTTTTAAGCTCAGTGAGTAGTATTCCTTGACCTCTCGTACCACCACCTTCAACCATATCCCTGCCCAACAATTCTTCACACTGAGAATTGGGTTGTTAAACCGACCCGTTCACGGCCTTACCGTTGACAGGGAGACCTAGTAACATGTACACATCCTCTAGCGTGACGGTACATTCACCTATTGGTAGGTGAAATGTATGGGTCTCTGGTCTCCACCTTTCCAACATTTCCAGAATGAACTTAGAATCAATTGAGCAGTTGGAGATCTTTATAACATGTCTGAAACCTGCGTATTCCAGATATGGTACGATAAATGGGTCGGGAGCCAGATAGTTGTGAGACCGGATTCTGAATCTTTTGGTATCCTGAGTTAATAATGTAAAAGATGTAAGATTAAGTAAGATGAACATAGCATTACCTTAAGTATAAATAATGTATAACCAAATTAGAAACTTACAAATGCGGCAATGTTTTCCCTTGTGCCTCTGTGAGAATCACCCATTGTTAGAAGAGCCATTGTTTAAAATGCTTGAGATATGAAAGACTTAGAAAGTGTAAGAGATTATGAAAGACTTAGAAAATGTAAGAGATTGTGAAAGACTTAGAAAGTGTAAGATATTATGAAAGACTTCGTAGCAGAGAGTGAGACGAGTGTGAGTGTGAGAGAAGTATGATATGGTCTGTATTTATAGGAAAAAAATTTCATAGAGTGAGTGAGGTGGTAGCTGGTGCATGCATGCATGAGAAGTGGTTAGCAAAGACCCATCTTTGAAGGTGAAAACAATCATCTCCCACATCACCACAGTTTTTAACTATAGTCCGTCTTACTGTAAGGCGTGGTTAGCAAAGACTAAGGCGATTGAAAAGGTGTACGGAAACTGGGAGGAGTCATACCAAGAACTTCCTCGCTACCTGAATGCACTCAAGACGTATTCTCTGGGTACTGTTTACATTCTGGAAACAGTGCCAGCATACGCCCAAGATGGTAGTCAACTAAACGGCAACGAAATATTCAGTCGAGTGTTTTGGGCATTTCAACCTTGCATCACAGGGTTTGCATCATGCAAACCAATTATACAAATTGATGGGACTTGGTTGTATGGGAAGTACAAAGGCACGCAACTGATGGCAGTTGCACAAGATGGCAACAACAACATTTTCCCCATTGCCTTTGCCCTTGTCGAGGGGGAGACCGGTGGTGCTTGGAGCTTTTTTCTGAAAAATCTGCAGACACACGTGGCTCCTCAACCAGATCTCTGTTTGATCTCGGACAGACATGCCTCCATTAAAAGTGCCTACAATAATCCTGCAAACAGTTGGCATGACCCTCCTTCTACGCATGTCTATTGCGTTAGGCATATCGTCCAAAATTTCACGAGGGAGATCAAGGACAAAACACTAAGGAAAGCGGTTATGAATGCGGGATATGCATTGACACAACCCACATTCAAATATTACCGCAACGAGATCCGTTTGTCAAATCCGGAAGCCGGTAGGTGGATCGACAATATTCCGGTGGAAAATGGACTAGGTCATACGACAATGGCCAAAGATGGGGGCACATGACAACGAATCTTATTGAATCGATGAATGGGGTATTCAAAGGCATACGAAACCTCCCGATCACTGCTTTGGTAAAATCTACGTATTTTAGGATGGCTGCGTTATTTGCCAAAAGAGGTGAAATGTGGAATACGGTGTTGCAATCTGGACAACTATGGAGTGAAAGCTGCATGAAATACATTAAGGCAGAAAGTGCCAAAGCCAACACTCATATGGTTATATGGTTTGATCGACACAGCCACAACTTCATTGTGAAAGAGACAATCGACCACAACGAAGGCCTGCCAAGATAAGAATATAGGGTCATGCTACCTTCTCGTTGGTGCGATTGTGGCAGGTTTCAAGCATTTCGTATGCCTTGCTCTCATGTCATTGCCACTTGTGCTTATACCCATCAAGATGCGCTGCAACTTCTGTCACACATTTACAAATCTGAAACGTTGCTCAACGTTTACAACAACAACTTTCCTTTGGTAGCAAAACCAGATTATTGGCCTGCATACGACGGCGAAATAGTGTGGCACATTGACCAAATGCAAAGGAACAAGAAGGGTCGTCCCAAAAGTAAGCGCATCACAACAGAAATAGATGATCTTGACAAGCTGGAAAGAAAGTGTGGTTTATGCCGTCAGGTCGGACACAATCGCAAAAATTGTCCGAATCGGGCGTCTGCCTTGACCACATAAAAATTGTAATACATAAAATCTTTCCTTAATTATGTTGTAAATATTAGGGTTTTCCGTTAACAGATTTTGCTACAATAAATATTGCGCGTACAAGATAAATATACGATATTCCGTCTACGAAATTACAACTGTTAACACAATTTCATCTGACCCATGCATCATCAACATTACGTCGCTGTCTGTTTTGACTTCCTCCAACCATATATTAGGTCTTCCTGTCGCATGTGAGGTTGTTGTTCGTCTTTGCTGGATCCTTCGAATTTTTCCCCCCTCCGCAATGTCTCCATCTAGCCATCGCATCAACTCCCGCTTCAGACGCTCCATGGAGTGAATGTGCCAGAATTTCATTTTCATCGCAGATTTCGTGGCGGAGAAGATAACGTAACCATCTCTGCTAAAAATCATGGACGATGTCATGATTCAAATAACAGAGTAAAAAATAACAAAACAGTGCGAGAAAGTGTGAGAAACGACGAAGAAATGGATAAATTATTTACAAAACAGTATTTTGCCCTAGGAGACAAGTGAGATGGCGCCTCCTCTCACTTTTAAAGTGCATGCGCCATCTCACTTGGCTAAAAGTGAGAGGAGGCGCCAAGTGAGATGGCTCCTCCTTTTGGGGAGTTATCTGAAACATGGTTATTTGCGTAATTTTTTCAGAAACGCGGTTATTTGCGAAATATTATTTTAATACTTGATTATTGTAAAAAAAAATTCTTAAATTTCATATAAATTTCATCCTTCGTTTAGTAAATATAAACATTGATCTAACTAATAATTTATTAAAATTTATTTTACATCAAAAATTAATTATTATCATGGTTTCATCATCTTGGAAGGAAGAAAAAAAGCAATGACGGTGATTAAACTAATAATATTAAATTAAAAAAAGGAAAAATAATAAATAAAAAAAATGAATTATTAAATAAATATGTTATAAAATATAGAGTTGGAAAATGGGGATAAATTTGAGATTTAATTCAAATCTTTAGTTAGCAAAAATAAAGGAAAAATTTTGGTCAATGATTTGAATTTAAACTAATACTCTCTCTTATTTGTTTCTATATCCTAACACTATTCTTCACGTGGCTAATAAATTTTTTTTCCAAATAATCACACTTACTCAAATCATGGCATCATCATCTTTGCAACAAGAAAAAGGTATTGATGGTGATGATACTAAAAATATTGTGTTGAAAAAAGGAAAATGGCAACCAGAAGAAGATGCATTATTAAGAGAATATGTGAGAAAATGTGGAGCTAAAAAGTGGGATAAAGTACGAGAGAAAACAAATCTTCCTAGAGATGGAAAAAGTTGTCGTTTTAGATGGTTAAATTGTCTAAAACCAAGTTTGAAGAAATATCCATTTAGTGAAGAAGAAGGGAGAAAACTTATTCATCTCTATAATCAGTTAGGACCCAAATGGTCTCAAATGGTTTCACAGGTTTGTTTATTCATGCTTCACATTTATATGAAAACACAATTAAAGTTTATTAGATTTTCTATGATTGTAACCATAAATTATAGGAAATGATTTTTGTATGTTTCTTAAGATTAGGGTTTTTTTAGTAAATAAAACAATAATCTAGAAAGGTTTGAAAATCATAAGTTTTGGAGATTAAGGTTTGAAAATATATTAATTAATGAATTTTAGTGATATGCACCTACAATTTTTTTGGAAGAGTCGATAATTAGTTATATAATAATTTTGTATTTGTTTTTGTTGCAACAGTTTCCTGGAAGAACCGATAACGAGTTAAAGAATTTTATTAATTCAAGAAAAAGAAGTTTAAAAAATTCTAGAAAGTTCCTCGTTCCAGAAAGCATAAACCATGTTGATGAGGGAGAAATAATTATTAAGAGGGGTTGTAGTAACCAAAATAATAATGCCTCCGAAGAAAAAGAAATGACCCTACCAAGAGTGAAATTTGATGATAAAATCATTCTGTTTGATAACTATCTTGATCAAATTTTTGATGAAGAAAATATAAACTTTGAACCACTTTCAAAGTTGTTTGATGATTCAAATATGAACTTTGAACCACTCCCAGAATGTTCATACTTTCAAGATATGGAAAACATAGTCCCATCATTTTCCTACACTCCAATTCCACAATGTCCATACAATCTATATATGGATTATCAATTTGCATCAGGGATGTTTTCTGACCAATATCCTCAAAATCCAATTATATCATCTGAGGAGACTCAATAGTAATGCCTCACAATGAAGAATTTATTTGTATTATGACCATTTTTGTTTATTGTATCTTATAGAACTATTTCATTTCAATGTATGCATTTTTAATTCTTAGTATCACAATGAATTAATAAGTAAAAGTGTTTCTTTGTATCACAATGAATTAATAAAATGGTTATCATCAATTTCTTAACTCATAATCCTCTCTTTTAATTATAATCCCCTAATGTCTTAGGTGAATTCGTATCAAAAGAGGCTTTATTGAAATTAATTTTAATTTTAGAAATGAATAATACATCATGCTTAAAGTAATTATTGATTTAAGTGTTAAATTAGATGAAATTTCAAAAGTTAGGATTAGTAATCTTCTCAGTTTGGAAACAATTCAGACATTTGTCAACATATAAAAAGCGCATTGAACACAAATTTAACTTAATAAATACTAGGGTTGAATTTTCATGGATTAGTACTCGACGGTTACATAATTTAAATATTTCAAAATAAATTTATCTAAAGTCCTAATTAAAAAATATTCATGTTTTGCATGTTGATGCGGGGTTGTTTGATGACGGGTTTGTGGTTTATTGTTGTGTTATTAAGGATCCGGGTGGTAATGTTTTTTTGCTAGCAGGAAAGATTTGATATCGGTCGCACCTATTGTGGGAGAGATTCAAGCTTTAAGATGGGGACTGACGTTGGCTATTAACCTTCATTTGAACGAGATTGTGGTTTAATCTAGCTGCCTTAATGCACTTGAGTGTATCAATTCAATGAGAAACTTTGTTGTCATAGATCATATTGCTACGAATTGTAGGTTTTTGTTAGAAAAGTTCATATTTTCTAGTGTGATATTTCTTAACATATCATGTAATTTAGAGGCACACAAGTTAGTTGGCATAGGTAAGCTAGTGGGCTCTAGAACATGATTTGGTGATTTCCCCACTTTGGACTCTATTAATATAATTTCGGCCAACTTTTCTTCTTAATGAAAGCTATTTTTTTATAATAAAAAAAGTCATAATCAAACAAAATTAGACTACTTGTAGTGTTGTACTTGGAAGGAGTCATAGGGCATGGAAAAGGCATATATGTTTTTTCTTATCGTTCTTTTTAGATCCCCGTTTGTTGGTTAGAGTGACCCTCTTTTGGATAGGGAGTCATTTCTTTGAATATGTCGCTTGGATCCTTCGTATTGCTGTCCATAGCGTGTGATCGTGCAGGTAATGTATATTGGATCAACAAATGCCATAGAGAGAGTCATGGGAATTGATTGTCCACCATGAATTTTAAGGAATCAACTATCCATTATCAGAGTAGTTATTATATCCCAGGAAATAATGGATCTCGACCCTAGGTGGCTATAAATACCTAAATATTGTGATAGAGAAAATGCTAACTTAACCACATAAAATACATGTATTCACAGCTTCTATCCCCGCGTAACCTAGCTTTCAACCTCACAACAACCTTGAAATCTATGGCAGCCCCTATTAAAAATATTATATTATGAACCCTTGTCTTTCTTCTTTTTAAGTATGAGTTATTAGTTTATATTTAGGACTCAGATGTAAGTCATTCCGACAATTGATCATTGTAATAGAGTTAGAGTTTTTTATGCTAATTTTGCTCCATTTATATTTGAGTCTAGAATTTGACTTCTCCATAAAAAGTTATAGCAATGGGTGTTAGCTTTCATATTCAACCATTCACATCACAATCGTAGTTACAAAACTCTAGATATGATATAAATAATACAGATACATCGTGATGTAAAATCTGTTGAGAATAAAATTGTAAATCTTGCTAAAAATATGATGCGTTCCTTTTTTGGATCTTTCTTTTTATTTCCAGAGATCTAGAAAATAAATTAAAATTATGTTTTCGTGAGGACAAATGTTTAACAAGATTCTTGGGACAACATGTACCACTGGTTTAAGACAGATGACGAATTATGGAGACATATATCAGACACGATGTATGAGACATTGTATACCAGAAGAAAAAAACCAACTACACAACCAAGTAATGATAGTTTAACTTATATAAAATGATAAATTAGTAAAGTAATAAAGAACACAAGAGATTGGTAACCTAGTTTAGGGAAACCACATCTACGGGTGGAGGGAACTTTATTCCAAAAAGGAAATTTACTACTTCAAATTAGTACAATTAGTCTTATAGAAACACCAACCCCGTGATGTTCAATGTCTCTTCTTAATCCTAGTGACTTTCTATTTAAGACTCCCTCTAAATATGAGAATCCCTCTCACTTTCTCTCAATCACTAATTCCAAGTGATCAAATTTAAAAGAAACTATGTTGAATATTGAACTTATAACTCATCTAAGACAAACCAACAACTATGTCACGTTACTGAAATGATAGTATGGTGTACACAAACACTTTGTTATCAAGCTTATAGACTTAGTATCCTAGAACAAAGTTTTACAACACAACTAACAAACCAAACTTTATACCTTAAGAAATGAAAAGGGGTGCTTGAGTGGTGCATAAAAATAAAAAAATCAAAGACTCAAGAGATAAATCCTAACACAAGGAATCTTCAAAACATGCACACCCCCAAATGTGAGGTTTGAATCTTCTTAAATAGAAATGCAATTTTGGGATTTTCTACTTTTGATTTCTGGTTTAACTTCGTCCAAAATAATAACAAAAATTTTCGTATTTGATTTTCTCCATAAAAATCTCAAACAAAAGACACGATTTGTTATTAATTCAAATTTAAATCTCCATTTAAATTTATTTGATCTTCAACAACTACCAAATAAATCACGCTAATGCATTTCTAAAATCTAGCAACAAATCTGATTCAATCTCTACCAGAATTTCACTCCCAAAAATAAAACAATGTTGTACTGCTAAACTAAGTTCAGATGATGCAAACATGATGGAACATCGTGTTCCACATGTGTCACTTCTTCACCAAATTTGAAATAAAATTGGTATGTTGACTAAGACCAGATTTTGCAGCATACATGTTAGAACATCGCATTCTACATGTTACACCAAAACATCCAAAATAACCCTATTCATATAAATCTTCTTCGTAGAGTGAATATTGGACCATGTCTTCCTTCAAAGTACATCCAATCATTTCTTTTTGACTGAACAATATCCATATCACTTAATTAAATCATATTTTTCACATTCTTGATGTAGTAGAATCTTTTCCAAATTGATTTGAAATCTTTCCAAATTGACTTGAGTTGACAAACTTCTTCCAACAGTTAACTTTTGCATCACCTGAAAAAGTCAATACCACAACTCTTCTCAATGATACACATTACTTGTTAAACCTATTGCTTAATAAGGTGGATATTTGTTCCACACATAAATCAGAATTGGTGTTGTTAGCACTACTACGGAAAAGTGATACCACATCGATTGGAGAAGTCTTACCACAACAGCTGACCAACCGTTGTGAGGTAAGATGTGATTGTATGTACGATGCTTTGTATTATGCTTGAGCGAACTTTGTGATAAACTATGTAGTGTTCTACTTATCACAATGTTTGCCTTAAATAATTGTTGTCATAAATATAGGGTCATGAGTTTGATACCCAACTACAACCAAAATTAAAGCCCTTAAAAAATCATATTTCACTACGACAATGTGTCCTAACCGTTATGGTATATAAGAGTTTATTGTAAAATATGGGATGGCTTGTTTTTCCTTTCCCCTCATTAAGCATATACGATAATTCAAATAGATTTTTAAGATAATAATCTGAAAAAATCAAATCATTATTGAACAACAACTTAAACGATCCAATGTTTTTTAAATTGCATGCATATTGTAATTCATGATTTCCTCATCACCCCATAGAATTTGATTCAATCTTGAATTCTTCAATGTAATAATGATGAATTGATGTCTTTTAAGTCTTTCACACAAAATTTGATTCCCTCTAATTTATTTTGCAAACATCAAAATTTGTGTGAAAGACTCGGACCGACATCCATTTATCAACATTGTTTTGAAGAATTTGCGGCATTGAATCAAAGTCTATAGACTAAAGAGTAAATTATGATCTACAAGATGCATGTAATTCAAAAAAACATTGGATCATCAAAGTTGATTTTCATGAATAATTTAATATTTCTGATTATTAACTTAAAATATATTTAAATGAATGCACGTTCAATGAGGGATTAGTAAAATAAGCAATCACATATGATATAATAAACTCACTAACAAAAGCATAAAATAATTAACATAGAGTGGGAGAACTTGATATTATATGAAAGACTCATATAAAATTTCCACAGCAAACAAAATTTCGCAATTGTCTTAAATCCATTTTCCCTGTAATGCATTGTTTCTCTCGTAAATATAAAAAACAAAACGCATCCAGAAATGAGGTATTACCACGGTTAATTGTATGACCGTTGTAATTTAGTTTTACTGAAGGTATATTTTGTAGTTGTGGGGACTCTTGAAGCGGTGATATTAATATCCAATAGGTGACGTAGAATGGACCTACAAGATTAACACTCTAACGCTCAAGTCAATTATAGATTCTAATATGATTGGAGTGAAAAATAGAGATAAAAAATATACATTGAATTCCTCGCATGCTAATTATATAAGTTGAATAATTTGATTGGGTCTTTGGACGATCTAGAAATTTATTTCATAATTATTATGTTTGATTTCATATATTAAAGTGAATGAAATAAAGTCGTTCATTTTTATCTCAATTATTTAATGTTTTAAATTTCTTTTCCTCAAAAAAGAGAAAAGGTACTAATTGTATTGTCCAAAATGTACAAGTCTATGTGTGTGTTCCCTTATAAAGAAAGGGAGACTCAGAGGCTCTAGTATGTATATTACATATTTGGGGGTGAGGTTTAGCTCACAGTGGCAACTAGCCATGTACGGTGGTTCTTGAGGCTATTTAAGGGACTATCTCACGTGAGGTCAGAGGCCCCGTCGACGGCTGGCGCTGCTACATTGCTGAAAGGCGGTTAGACTGATAATGTTAAGGATACTAG